TCCCCCGCCCGCATGCGTCTTCGCAATCCTCTTCGGGACACTTATCACACGTCGCGTGGCCTCATGGGGACCTCCACCGAACAAGGGCCCACTGGCGTGGCCCGCGCGCGTTCCCGCCGACCATGCCACCACTCACTACCATCGTTCCTCTGGACCCTGGGGAGCTCTACAGAATCCCCCACTGGCAATGCCCGCGTGCGTTCCCGTTCTCCAGTTCGGGACACCGCATGCACGTTCCATGGCCTCACGGATATCTCCACCGAAGGCCCCACTGGCGCCGCCCTCATGCGTCCCCGGTATTCAGGTCGGAACACCCCTCACACTTGTCGTGGCCCCATACCGAGCTCGACCGAGGATGTGCGTTGAGCGCGCCGACGTGGTGTTCTGGGCGCCGAGGACGGTTCCCACACACGGAGACGACTGGGCGCCTGGTGGCGGGATGTGCCTACAGCGCGCGCGAAGAAAGCGTGATGGTTTACTTCATATACCACGAGATGTGTCAACACGCTGGCACCACGAGGTGGCGGATTTGAAAGGCGGCTTGCTTGACTCCACCCAGCGTGTCTTCTACGATTTCAGAGCCGCACGTATAGTGTGTTGCACTTCGGCTACTGTTCGCTCATGTGCATTTCTTTCACCGTCTTCTTTCCCCAAACAGTTCGCTAGATTGGGGTGCAGTTGTGATGGTAGCTAGTTCCGCCCGAGGCAATCTCAAGCACAGCAGACATCCTCACCCAAATCTGTTGGTCCAGGCCGTTTCGCCTGACACATCCTTGCAAATCTCGTTTTAGAGCTGTCCGGGATTACGCGTTTCCTTACAGTCATCCTCGAAACCTTGGGTTTCAGCGGCCGTTCGAGAGATGGTCCAGGACGCTTAGCCTGAGCCACTCTCGCACCTCTGGGTTCCGAGGTGCCGCGAGAAAAGTGGTCCGGCCCGTTTCGCCTGAGGCATTCTCGCATCTCGGGGCTCCCAGTTCCCTTCCCACTGACTTGAGGTGGTCCACCCACGTCTGGCCCCCAGCTAGCACAGTGTCTTCTTCGGGCCTCTCTGCGCATTTCTTCTTCCCGCGACAGTCTGCTCAAGTGGGTTGCCGTTGTGATGGTGGCTGGTTCCGGCCGAGGGGATACGAAGCAGATATATCCTCACATCAATCTGGAGGTCTGGGCGGTTTCGCTTGAGACATCCTCACCAACCACGTAAATGAGTTGTCTGGGATTCGGCGTTTCCCATGAGACATTCTCGAAACGCTGGGCTCCGAACGGCTGTTCGAGAGGTGGTCCGGACCGTTCCGCCTCAGACATTCTCGCAACTCCGGGCTCCGAGCTGCCGCGCGAGAGGTGGTCCGGGCCGTTTCGCTTGAGATCGAGATGTCCTCGCCAATCGGCCCAGACATGCTAGAGGTCACAAGAGGCCGTCCGGGGGCAGAGGTCCCAAGAGGTCTTGGGTGTGGGAGGTCCGTGGATGTCTGCCCAGGCTTCGTGGGCAGCCGTCGTCGTCGTCCTCGTCGTCGTCGGTCGTCGTTGTCTGGTACAACAGGGAGGAGTCGAAGGAGGAAAAAGAGCAGGGAGAGGACGACTAGGTGGACGAAAAACGAGAGGACGAGCAGGAGGAGGAGGAGGAGGACGCCGGTGAAAAGGAGTATTGGGTGAAAAAGGTGAAGAGGTACAGGCTGTGGAGGACGCACAGGACGCCGACGACGATGCCGATGAGGCGGAAGAGGGAGATAACTAGGTGGGTGAGGCTCATATTATCTTGGATGATCATGCATAGGAAGATGTAGAGGATAACGGGGAGGACGAGGACGACGAGGAGGCAGAGCACCAGGAAGGTGAAGACCATCGGAGGATGAGGAGGAACGTAACGAGAGGGGGAGAAGGAGTTCGAGTGCGAGGGCAGGCGGAGGAGGCGCGAGGGAGGATAGACGACGATGACGGGGCAGGCCGATGCAGAGCAATAGGATGATAAGCGGGGGGCGACCAGACAAACTCAGGATCCACCTTGGCCTTAAAGATTCCTGTTTGGGGGTACTGCAATCTCCCTGTGATGTGTACATATGCTGTTTCACGTGGTTATCCGATATCCCGCGTCCTTTCACCATTCGACGTTGCGTAGCGTACAGTCTTCCGCTGGTCTGGCCAATCTTCGCGTCTAAGTTTCACTGTTGCAACTTTCCATTATCGCGTTCTGTGGTTACTCAAGTGCCTTACTCCATGCCGCCGACCCCCCCAAGGAATGCGAGCTTCGAGTTCTTGGAAGGTGTCTAATGCAGATGAGGGGCTCTTGAGGGGCGCTTTGGTGCCTCTTGGGTACTTTGGGGGCCTGTTGGGTGCTTCTTCGAGCCTCCTTGGAACCTCTTGGGGGCCTCCTGGGACCTCTTGGGGCTCTCTTGGGTCCTCCTGGGGCTCTCTGTCGGGGAAAGCTAGATTTGGGATTTTTTCGTCGCCCTCTTGGGCCGCTCTTGGGGCCGTCTTGGGGCCCTCTTGGGTTGTCTTGGGGGCCTCTTGGGTCGTCGTGGGGCTCTCTTGGGCCGTCTTGGGGGCTGTCTTGGGGGCCTCTTGGGCCGTCTTGGGGGATCTTGCGGGCCTCTTGGGCCGTCTTGGAGCGTAAGGAAGCCGAAAAGGCGAGAAGGCAAAAACATATACAAAAACACAATGGAAAATCAATGACTTTAGTCTCTCGGGGTGCTCTTGGGAGGCCACTTGGAGGCCTCTTGGGGCGTCTGGGAGGCCTCTTGGCCCGTCTGGTGGAGGTCTTGGGCGTCTGGGAGCATCTTGGAGCGATCTTTCGGCCACTCGGGGCTCTGATGGAGCATGTTGGGGCCCTGGCGGGGCTCTTTTGGAGGCTCCCGGGGCCACAGGGGGGGCGCGGGGAGCCCGGACCATTCCGCCTTTCCGCTTTTAATGCGATTTTGGGCTCCCGGGGAGGGGGAAACGGGGAGGGGGACAGCGAAATGGTCCACGCGCCGTTTCACCCCCGGCAGGCCGGTGTCGGTGGACTTTCGGCGGGCTTCTGGCAGCCTGTGGTGGGGGCATGGGTTGTCGCAGTGACGGGGGGACGGGCGGGGGATGGATTCCAGCAGCGAGCGGTCGCCGGTGACGCCACTGGCGGCATGCTTGCACTTCTTCCTGTGGTCTTGTCCAAGACGCTGCCTGGTGCAAACCGTGGCAGGTGGGCACCCGGTGAGGGGTTTTCATTTGGCGTTTCGTAGTTTCTTGTGTTCTGAGATCGCTAGTTGGCTATGTAGCTGTTGAAAAAAAAACGGGCTCACACGGCGGAGCACGGCGCCAAAGACTTCCAGGACCTCTGACAGCCCCAAGAGGATCCCAATTGGGCCAGAATCATGTGGTGCCCGGGAGGACGCGTCCAAGATTTTCCTCATGTGGAATCTAACATGGTCCCTGGCGCCCAACTCCTAGCGAAAGTGGGGCGCGGTGGGAGACATGATCCCAAGAGGAGTCTACGTGTGAGATGCAGCGCCAACACTTGCTACGATGGGAAGGTGATCGAACACACTTTGAACAGAATGTCCCAAGTGGACAGTTCGGGGAATAAAACGGGGATGGGGGAGGGAAGTGGTGGAGGAACAGGAGGGGGAGGGATGTGCACGAGGAGGACGAACCAGCTTTTCCTAAGAGGGGGTCATACCATGCTCACGCTCACGAGGTGGTCGGCGGTTCTGTGGGACGCTCGGCTGCGCCATAAGATCACGTACGTACCAATCCCCACAGAACATAATATTGTAGTATCCACGGGTCAGGTCAACCGTTGAACGAACGGCTGCCAAGAACTACGGGAAAGCGGGTGGTCGCACATAGAAAATTGCATCCAAACCATTGCAATCGCAGGTGGTCAAAAGTCTATGACCGAGAGGCTGTCCAATTCAGACTTCTCAACCGCACCGTTGTCATCGGTAGGCAAACTTCTCCTCCCACGTATTTAACCTCCTGCGACCCCCTCTGGGCTCTTTTGCCTGAGCTGCTCTCGCACTCCCTCCGATATGTTCATCGTTTTGCCCCTACTCTTTGCTTCCTCTTCACGTCCTCCTTCTTCTGCTTTATCTTCTCTTCCTCCTCCTCTTCCTCTGCCTCCTTTTTTTATACTCTGCTGCAGCTGCGCGTCCATGGCGGTCGCCGTGGCGCCTGGTCCGAGGGCGGGCCAGACTGCGGCGCGGGGCCATGGAGAACGCGTGCCCCAATCCGCGCGGCCAGGTCTTCCCGTCAAAAATGTGTGAAAACGGTGTTCCATCCTGAAATTTGGATTCTGTCCCAGGGATCTTTGTCAACGGAGACGTCCGGGACAGGTGAGAAGAGATTCGCACGGCGATCACTCATGGGGGTCCGCCCGGTGCCACAGGTGCCCTTTCGCGATGTGGCGCGCTTGCCTGCCCGGGAGGAGAAGCTCCCGCTCACGCAGCGCCTTCCCTACCTGCGGCTTCCAGATCGCAAGCCACGGGGCAGGATGGTGGCTGAATGCAAGGATCTCCTCCCAGCTGGCGCCAGAGATTCAGGTGCGTTGCGCGTGTCCGCCGCCCTGGATTTAGATGTTCTCTTGGCCCCAGGGAATCCCTTGTCTCTGTGCTGCCTGGGTGGTTGTCTTCACGACAATGCCGCTACTATTTTTTCGAGCTTCCTTTGTCCGGCACGCGCCAAGAGCTGCGCCACGGTGGACTCCTGTTTCTGATTTCATTACTCTCATGCGCATTGCAGGCCGCACGAGCCACAGCCCGAGCCATGGTTCAGTTGTTTGGTTTTATTTCGGATGGGGTCCCGGTCCGTGGGTTTGTGATGTTCCATTGTGCGCAACGTCCTTAAGTTACTTTCCATTACGCCCGTGGCTCTCCGGGGTTGGCGGAGTATCTTTCAAGGACGATCCGAGGCGCCACCTGGAGAGCTTTGGTGAAGAGGTCTCGTCTGGAGGCGTCCGAGCTTTGCAGGCTGGGGCATGATGGCCTCGCGGCGCGCTGGGAGCAGCTTATTGATGACGCAGTGAAGGGTTACCGTGAAGATATGGAGCATCGGCAAGAACTCTGGTGGGCGCGACAGCATGAGGATGCTGTGATGGCTTCTAATTTGGGGTCCTGGTTGGAGGGCGGCGCATGCCCAGGTGCTCCGGCCATTTCGCTTTCATGTTGTCTCTCGGCCCAGGTTGGAATAGCATCTTTCTGCATTCGCGAGCGGGTTTCTTGGGGAATTCGTCGCGGATGTTTTCAGTTCCTTCAGTTTTGCATTCGTCTTCATGTCCCCAAATGCCCTTCCCGAGTTAGCCGCTCATCCCCGTGGTCGCGGTAAGCTATCAGCTGTGCGCATTTCCGTGACCAGCGCATGCGCCAGCGTGGGCCACCAAGTGCATGTGCGACTTTGCTTGCGCGTTGCGTGTCCCAGCAGGTGCCGCCATTGCGGTTTCGGAACTTGGAGTTGATGGCGCTCGGCCGAATGGCACGTCCACTTCGGGTTCCAGCGCGTGCCTGCATTCAGGCTGCGGGTTTGCCTGTCATGGCGTTCCGTTGTCGATGGCGCCATTGACCGCCAATATGCTGTTTCGCTGCTTCCTTCTTACCACCTGACCTTGCACTTCCCTTGTTTTATGCTCATCTCTCCCTCTCTCCCTTTCCGTCGTTGTGTTGGTTTCGCTCAGTTCTTCTGCTTCCCGATTGCAAGTCGTTGTGCTGCTTCCAACCCCCGCCCTTCTGGTCGCCCAGGCGCGATGCCGCCGGTGACTTTTGGGTCAGTCCATCCCGTTGGGCGCGCAGGGGATCACATGCATGGCGCAGCGCAGGCTGCGACACGGCAGTTTGGAGAAGCGGCTCAACCGGACCTCCATCAGCAGGCTCTTGCCACGTCTTCATCTGGCGAGGACACCTCCGTTGCTTTCCTGGCCGAGTTGCTCCGGACCGCGCGCGAGGCTGGCTCCCTGTGGGGCTCGGTGGCATCCGCGGCGTCAGCTATCCACCTTGCGGCACCAGACGTCGTGCACTTGAGGGAGGCTCTCACGGCGAACGGCCAGCTCACTTGGGTGGCGGATTATGGAGTGCCTGTTCAGGTCCCTGCTTTCATCCAGCGGGGACAACGAGCCAAGGGAGACGGAGGATTATTTTAGGAACATCTGCTTTGAACAATTTCGTTTTCAGGGCCCTTGGGAATGTTCGGAGCATCCAGGGGGGCATTTTGAGTATCCTTGCCGGGGCATTTTCTATGTCGCGTTCGCTTTGTTCTCTCCCCTCGGAAACACGGTGGGATCGCAGGGGCATCCTTTCGTTTGCCTCGATGTTGTTTGGCTTCCAGGCTTAGGGATTGTGCCTCGTTGGCCTCATGGGGCCTGCTAGAGGCAGCTCCCATTTTGGATTTGCAGGAAATTCGCGCCCCACTGATGGGCCTCTTTCTGATTGGGCCACTCCGAGGTGCCCCAGTCGCTGTTTCCCCGACCTTTGTCATTGGAGCCGTCCGGGCACGACCTCGTCAAGATGCTCCGTTTCCTTGGTTCCGTGGACCGTCCCAGGGTGCCCCTCGACGCCGTGCAGACTTTCTTGGGCCACTGCTGGCATTGGACGGCGCAGGATGCCATGCTCACTCTTTCTGCAGTTTGTGTTTGGCTCCCCCTCGGTTTCGGCATCTTTCTCATGCATTCCTCTGTCATTCACTTGTCATCTCACCCTCGTCTCTTCCCTCTAAGGCTCCTGGCGTGTAGTTCCAGGCTTTGCCGACTCCCCCCCATCGTCGACGTTTCCTTCGTCTGATCTCTTAGCCCTGCTTCTCCTCCTTGGCCTCATGTTCGGTGTGCTGTCTGGTTCGTCTTCCTCTCGATGCCTCATTTCCTTTGTCGCCTGCGCACTCTTGCAGGACTTCCACGATATCTTCGGGGAGATGCTGCGTGCGGGGTCAGTGCACCTCGTGGCCGGGTTTGTCCAGCCAGGCCCAGTCCGCGGCGTCTGGCTTGATGACCCTCTTGCGCATTGCATGGGGGACGCGCTTGCAGAGAAGCGCTTCGGCAATTTATGATTTCTTTTTGTTTTGCATGTGCACCCCAGGCGGCGCGCCTTTTAGCACTGCCTTGCACGCCGAGCGCTTGCGCAAGCCTTGGCCGCTGATCACAGTGGTCAGGGAGCCAGTGGTGGGAGGTGGCGGGCATGATCATTAGGGCTGGGCACCTCCCTAGAGCACGCTAGGCAACGATGCGGCAAGGGCGGCCGCTGACCGCAGCTCGTCCATAATTTGGTCGGAACCGTTTCATTGGGACCCAACTCTTTGCTTTTCGCGTGGACTTTTGGCGGCGCGCTGTCCAATCGTCAAGTCTGCATTCGCTCCTGCCTTCCGCTACTACTCACCCGATGTAGTTCTGTGGTTTTATCATTGCCCGTTCAGCTCGTTATGCTATACCGCGAGAGCCTCGTTATGCACCTCCCTCTCTTTCTCTCTCTCTCTCTCTCTTGCTCTATCCCTCTCGTTGTGCGTCTCTCAGTCTGACTAGCTCACTCCCTCGCTCGTCCCCCTGCTGCCCACGTGGCAACACATACTCATAGGAGTCTGGTTGGTAACAGTTTTGCGTGGAACGCACGCGCATGCATACCGACAACATACACACGCAGGGCACCTTGATGCAGACATCCACGCACACGCGCAAATACAAATGGCCACGCGTGCACACCAATTCTGGGTCAGAGTGAGGGGGCTGGCGCGGGGTGGGTCGCGGCGCGTGGGTCGCGGTCGGGGCGGGGGTGGGTCGCAGGCGGGTCGCGGGGCGGGTCGATGGCGGGCCGCAGGTGGGTCGAGGGTGGGTCTCGCGGTGGGTCGCGGGGTGGGTCGGGGGGGAAACGCGACAACATAAACAACAAGAACAATCCGGACCGCAGAATCCCACTTCAGGCACGCACCCAGGGGCAGTGAATGACCGTTCGCCCCCCTCACTCTGATGATGTACGTGGTGCTAGTGCATCTTCATCCGCATGGCGCATGCTTGTATTCGCCAGTTCCCTCGTTAGCGGTTCTGTCTGGCTGCCCTTTCTTCTCCGGCCTCAGTGCAGGGCTGCCGGCGGCGTGGTTCCCCGGAGATCGTGCCCACATCCGCGTCGGCATGGCGGGCGTCCCATTGGCTCGCGCGCCGCTCCAGCGTGGGACATGGCCCGCGGGTGCTTTCGGGCAGGGGGTTCAGCGCGTGGAGATGGACCTCGACGACGATTCGGCGCCTGCTCCGTTGCTTGCGCCGGAGGCGCCGCAAGGGGCTGCTCCGCCCGTAGCGGCGGCAGCAGTCGCGGCGCCACCGTTCATGCCTCCGGCAGGGCAGGGGGGAGATCTCGCCGCGTGTCCAGCAGCGCCCGCTCCAGTGGCGAGGGCACGTGGTGCCCGGCTTCGTGGTGGCGGGGGCGCCGTCGGCCCGGGCGCGGCCAGACAGCGTCAGGTGGCTGGGGCTGCCCCCGCGCAGGCACCGCCCGCGCCTTTGCCAGGGGCTTCGTCCGGAGGGGGCGCCGTCGGCCCGGGCGCGGCCGGACAGCCTCCGGTGGCAGGGGCTGCCCCCGCGCAGGCACCGCCCGCGGTTTTGCCAGGGGCTTCGCCCGCGCCGGAGATCGTGAAGTCCCAGCGTGGCAACAATATGCTGCTCTGTGGAGGTCGTGGCGTCGATTCCCTTCCGTCCTCCTCCCCCTCCTCCTCGTATTCATCAGTATGTTTCTTATCATCGTCCTCCAGCTCCTGCTCCTTCTCCTTCTCTCTCTGCGTTGCTAATCCCTCTCATTGCTCTCCTCCGCACCTGCTTTCTGTATGCGTTCCTCTCCGATGCGACCTTTTTGCGATGCATCTCCTCCTGTGCTTGCGCCCTGCTTGCCCTTGCCAGTCGTCGACCTCGTCTCCTTTGCTAGTCGTCGTTTTATTGCATCATTTCCACAAAAGGTTATGCATATTACTTCAAGAAGACTCTGAAGGGTGGTAAGTCGTCGTGGTTGTGCGACCGCCACGAGAAGGACAGCGTAGGTCACGCAGCTGCGTCATCTTCCATTCGTACTCGTTGTCACGCTGCCGCGCGGATCCGGCGCCCCGTGAGGCAGGCCCCCGGGCAAGGCGGTTTCGTTGGTGCGGGGCGGGTCGGGGGCTCTGGTGTGCAGATGGGGGGCGCCGCGCTATCGCAAGCGGCACTGTAGATGAAGTCATTGTGTTTCATAGTGTAGGCACGCTGGTCACGGTGGACCGCGTGCTTTTAAATGATTTCTCGTTCTTTCAAATGCCCCGGGGTACCTTGGGCATTTTTTCGCAAGGGGCGATGCCGCAGAACAAGTGGACACGGCCTCACGCGCCCAGAGCTCTGCGGATGTAGTGGCGGATTTGGGTGCATTCCCACGCATTTTCTTTATGCCCCGTTGTTTGTGTGTGCACGGACCGTTTCACGGTTTCGACGGGGGGCCACAAGCTAAGGGCCCAAGGGGGGTGCCACGGAGAGGCCCAAGGGGCGTTCCCCGGCTAGGGGGGGCAAGGGGAGGGCATCAAGTGTGTTGGACAATCGCGGAGGACAAATGTAAAGCCAGGGTGAAGACCTCCTCCGTCGACGGCGTCCTCGGCGTGGATGGCGCTCCCACGCCGGAGCACAACCACCTGCCGAATCCGGACCGGGTGGATGGATTTTCCAAGTGACTGGTGTTTTGACTGTACTTGCCCAGGTGGGGATTGGCCCGCGGCATTCGGTTAAGTATTTAGGACCGGAGGTTTCCACGGACACTCTACCTGTGCAAAGTGCGTCGCCAGGAGTCGTTTTTTTGCCAGGGCACCTGGAGGATATCATCTCGTTAGATGTGGTCGTTCATATTTCAATTCCGTTGCTTTACTCCGTGAAGGGGGGGTCTGTGGACCAAAATGTTTCCGCTCAGAGCTTTCAGGTGGGAGGTTTGGACTGAAGGGTTGCCATTGGGATCCTGTCAGCGAGAGGTTTGGAACAGGGCATGGCAATTAGACACTCCAGGCAGAGGGGGTTAGACCAAAGGGTTACCAGGTATAGTCTGCAGGCGGGAGGTCTGGACCAAAGGGTTACCAACTAGACGTCTGAAGTGGGAGGTCTGGACCAAAACGTTACCGGCCAGAGCCTCGAGGCGGGAGGTCTGGACCAAAGAGTTACCATTCGGAGCCTTCGGGCGGAAGGTGTGGACCAAAGAGTTAAGAAAGAGTTGCCACTCGGAGTCTTCAGAAGGAAGTGCTGGACCAAAGGGTTACCAATTAGAGCTTGCAGGCGAGGGGTCTGCACCAGAGGGTTACGAGTTGCAGTTTTGAAGTGGGAGGTCTGGACCAAATTGTGACTGGTCTGAGCTTTCAGGCGGGAGGTCTGGACCAAAGAGCCATTCGAACACTTCGGGGGGGGAGCCCTAGACCAAAGAGTGACCAGTCGGAGCCTTCAGGTGGGAGGCGTGCACCAAATGGTTACCAGTTCAAGCTTGCTGGCGGGAGGTCTGGACCAAAGGGTTACCAGTTAGAGCCCTTTAGTGGGAGGTCTGGACCAAAGGGTTCTTGTTCACAGCTTCGAGGCGGGAGGTCTGGACCAAAGGGTTACCCGTTGCGCCATCCGTGCGATGCAATCAATGTGGTGTATATTGTATATTGATCGGTGCAATCTATGTGCTACATGTCAAGCGGCCCAGGCGACGGGCGGAGACGAGGCGGCTGGGAAGCGGCGACAGGTCGGTGACGGCGGGAACATTGCAGCCAGATCGCCACAGAGGCTCAGTTTCTCAGGGAATAAATAGGAATGCCTAAGTGACGGCACTGGTCGGAGAAATGATGAGTGTCTCTGGGCTGGGGGTTCGGAGGTGATACGACCTCAGGGTGGGGGTCCGTGCGTGTACGTATTGTTGGCCATGCGTTCTAAAATTGTGCAGTACATATATATATATATATATATATATATATATATATATATATTACACATGTGCATGTGTCGCGCAAGCATTGTCAGAGTCGCCCAGGTGGCTCGCATCAAGCTTTTCCAACAAGTGAAAGCAGAAGCCGTGGAGCAGAAATTCACGCCCGCCACGCGGGTCGTGGCCGATTGTCTGGGGGCGCCGGACGCGAACGTGGCGACCCTGGCTCTCAAGAGGGCGCGGCGGTGCCGAATGACATGTTTTCGTGATGAAAATAATGATATGTTGTGGCGTTTATTTGTGTGTGTGTTTTTTTTTTGGGGGGGGGGCTGGTGTTTGAAGGGCAGTGTGGGCGTTTTTTGGTGGGGGCACGGCGCGGCGGGGGGGCTGCAGCGGTGGGATCTTCAGGCCGCCTGGAACGAGACGGTGCGGCGTTGAACGGGGGCGGGATGCGGCGGGGAAGGGGCTGGCGGCTCTCCCGAAGGCCGCCTGGAACGCGAGGCACTCTGACCGGGAGAAACGCTTCAAGGCTGGAGAAGACGTGGAGAAGCCCGATTACTCCTCCCTCTCCAAGCTGGTCTTGCCGGACAGGGTTTTGCAGTTCGACAAGGACCGGTTGCTCCCTGAGCGTTCAGGAATTCTTTGCATGCGTGTCGACTGCGGGGGGGATGTTTTTTTTTTGGGGGGGGGCATGGGCCCAGGGCGCCGGTAATCATGTTGCCCCTAGGTTTTTTCCCTTGGGATGGCTGCTCCATGGGCGGCTGGGGCATTGGGCACCGCGAGCCCCCCCCATTGTCCTTCGTGGCACTATCATGATGATGCACTGCGCGCACCTGTGTTTTAGCTTACGGTTGATTTTGCAGTCGCCGGCTGTATGGGGCCCAACTGCTGAGGGATGTGCTCCATGTCCATCTCATTGTCCATCGTTGTGAATTCGCATGCGGTGGTTATTGTTGTTTTAGGGCTGCGTTTGTTTTGCAGTGCGCCCGTTCACGTGTGGGGGGGGGGGTCGGCGTCAGGGCCCATTTGCTTTTTGGTGCGCGAGCGCCTGCGCGGGCAATGTTCTTGTGACACCACCTATTCTCAGGAGACGATTCTGCTCCATGATTCTGGCCCCGAGAGCGGCGAGGATCGCTTCATTATTTTGGGGCTGAAGTCGCACGTCGCGATGCTGGGCGAGTGCCCCACGTGGTTCGGCGACGGAACTTTTAAAGTGGCGCCGCATCCCTTTACGCAGGTGCGGGCCTTACTTCTGCGTGCCCGTCGCCGTCGAGA